ATTACTGTGGAATGGCTTGGACTGACTCCAGCTAGAGGGGAAGGGGGCTTGCTGTGGACAGAGGTTTCTGAAAGAGTGGGCACCATGCCCTGGAAATGGATTAATAAGACCCTGCCTAAGGTAAGCCTTTGCTTAGGGTTGGATGGGTGTGTGTGGTGTGTAGAGTGAGCAGAAGACATGTTGCTGGATTTGTCCATAGGAACAGGTTGAGAATTTGTCAGGTATCTCCATAAAGGGATTTTTCTTAGGATCTGCTCCCTCTGGGCAGGAAAAACTTCTTAGATCAGACAAGAAGACTGGAGGCTATTCATTAATCATGATAGTGTGAGGGAGAATTGCCTGGCTTTTCAGTCTGCCCTTGTGTGTGCGTGTTTCAAACAAACTCCCAAAAATAACACTATATATAGCATGACGAATAGATATTTAATATGTAGGCAGATGGACACATACACACACTCCCCTGCTAATTTCCCAGCATGGAAGATGATGTATAAACAAAGCCTATGACTCAGTGGTTAAACCACAGTGAAGCCTCTCCTCACAACCTGAGTTCAATCCCAACAGGCTCCGGTAGCTGGCTCGAGTTTGAAGTCAGCCTTTCATCCTTCTGAGGTTGGTAAATTGAGTACAGTGGTGCCTCACCGAAAAATCGCTGGTAAGCGATTTCAATTGCTAAGCGAAATGCGGTTTCCCATTGAAATGCATTGAAAACAGGATAATCTGTTCCAATAGGAACGAATTGCCGTCCTTAAGCGAAAATCGCCATAGGAAACATCGCTAAGCAAAACGTGGTTCCCCAATTGAAATGCATTGAAACCTATTCATTGCAGCTCAATGGAGGAAAAAATACAGCAACAAATTTAAAAAGAGTCAGAACAAAGTCAAATTTGGTTAACAAAGGGTTTATTAAGTGCACTTTATGATTTCAAACATTTTAAACAGTAAACTTTAACTTTATAAATAACAGAAAAACATTTAAAAAACAGCAAACATGAGGCTGTTTAAACCATCGTTAAGCGAAACAGGAGACCCAAAATTTAATCGCTATGCGAAGCATGGTCCTAACCATCACTAAGCGAAAATCGCTCATAGGGACCATCACTAAATGAAGCGCAAAAACGCTCAGAAAAAGTCATCGCTAAACAGAGTGCCCATTAAGCAAGGCACCACTGCACTCACTTGGGGGGGGGGGCAAAATGTTCTTTGCCTAACTGTGTTGTAAACTTCTCTAGCACTATGGGGCGGTATATAAGTTGAAACAACAAGAGCAACAGCATATATAAGTATTATGTTATTAGATTGTATTTGAGGTGTTTCATGGCTCACTCTGTGTGAGAGAGGATCTTTGTGCACCTCTCTGCATTTGCATGTATGTATGAGGAGTAGTGGTTGAATCTCTGTATGCATATGTCTAAAAGAAAACTTGTTTGTGTAAGTGCATGAGAAAAGACTGTCAGGGCCTGTGTAGGAAAGATAGTGTTCTGCATTGCTTTGAGTAACGTGTTCTGCGTTCAATTTGAGGCACTTCCAAAACTTTTGTCATTTGCATTTCTCACTGGATCCTCAAGTTCTGAATTACCTGGCTTTAATTTTAGAAGGAATCACATCACTGGGATGTCTCTGCTACTCTGTTTTATTAAGGGCTTTTGCGCAGAGGTCTGTGCACTAGTGCTCTGTCACAGCTTTTTGTTCCTTCACCTCATGCATTAGTCTTGCACCTCTCCTCCAGACTCCAGTGGCATTACAGTATTATGCATTACAAAAAAGTGTTATTTCTCCTCAATGAGCACTTACTGTCTCAGTAATTCACTTAAAAACAATGGTAAGAGAAAAGGACAAATAGTACCATTTTTATGTACAGTTCTTCGTAGATCAAAATGAACAGCGTTCTGTATAAAAATATTAGCTGGCTGCTTAAGCAGAGCTTCATTGATTCACTAGCTACATAATTGACTCAGTACATGGCTGACTCTGTCCATAGACTGTTTGACTAAAACGAGCGGGGAAAAGAATACTTGAGTACAGAGGTGTGGCTCTCCTCAACATGCTGAGGCAAAGAGGGAACAATTGGCTGCTGGTGGATTGATTTTCACCCCAGTCTAGAAAAGTTCCTCCCAGACAAAACCCCTTAAGGGTGACATATGAGGGTACAATAATTCCAACAAAAACTTGCACATACTTAATTTCTGGAATCCATTTTCTCTACTGGGGGCCAGAGTGGTAACTGACAAGTAGCAGAGCCTCCCACCCAGTCTGCTCTGACATATGGGCACAGGCGCCCCCGAGAAGAGGGAAGAGGAAAATATGGCATCCTTCAAAAAGAAAGAGAAAGTCTCTGTTTTCAAAAGCAAGCAAGCAAGCAAGCAAGCAAGCAAGCAAGCAAGCAAGCAAGCAAGCAAGCAAGCAAGCAAGCAAGCAAGCAAGCAAGAAACTGATAGTGCTGGGAGGTGTTGCTGTCTATTTTCCTAACACTTACTTCTAGACTTTGGTGTTTGTTACATGGTGCTGCCCAATTCTAAATGCCCTGCCCTGGTCACAGCTTTATTGGGAATGCAAGGCAGAAGGAAGCCACACAACAATAAAGAGAACTCCTGTGCATGACAGGGTGGTGTAATGGTTAGGGAAGAGAGCTATGGAACTCACTGGCAGATATTTATCTGGTTGGGCTAGTCTCATTGACTTAGCCTCATCTATCCCACTAATCTATCTTCTTAGGACAAAGTACTGAAAAAGGAGAGCCATATATGAGTTCTTTGGAAGAAAGGCGGGATATAAAAGCCTGGCTTACTCCACTGCAATTTGCGGTGCTGAGCAACAAGGTTTGGCCATTGTAGACTAAATTTTTGCTTATGTTTAGTTAAAAACAACATAAGCAACAACTCTGTCTTAACTGATCATCATTCTTGCAATGTTTTCATCATACTGTTTGGTCTGTATTCTTTTTACTGGGACACCTGTAATTCAGATGCTGCTTTAAACATAGAGTTAGAAGTGAGTGTAGAGCTGCTTATGGAATAAGGATAGGATGAGATTTTAGAATACTCTTTTTGGTTGTTGGTTGTAACAGAAGGCATTAAAACAAACAAAGTGTGAATATATATTTCTGCCTGCCGGATATTTCTTTAATTAGAACTTCTACCAAGAGTTTCTGTGGAGGTCACTAAGTCACCAAACAAATCAAATGTGCAAGGAATTTTTAGGACCATGGGAATGGTGGATAAATAGAAGCTTCCTGTTCTGACAACTCAGAGATTTCCTCCTGGCATTTGCTCCATGATGGTCTAAGCCAAGGCAAACTAAAATATACTTTTAGTGATTTGGGGTAACCTTTCCCGCAGTATATTTTAAGGTTTCCTGCCATCACTATGCAGGACTTACTACTCAGTTTCTCCAAGGTAGATGTAAAAGGGCTTTTATATTCCCAGTTTCTAGAGTTCTGTACCACTCGCTAAACAAGGCTACAAGTGGAAGCCAGATATCACATACTCATCTTTTATAGTTAAAGCGATCAGAGATTACATGGTTCAGTGGACCTCTGTGCGCACACAAAACTGCTTTGAATTATTCAGTACCAATGAATAGTACAGCTTTAAAACATCCTGGAAAATCTTTGAGAAATGAGTTGAGCCAGAATCTTTTTCTGCATCAAAATGACAACAGATTATCATTGAATAAATACA